CTCTTGACGAGCGAGTAGAGCACGTCGTCCTCACGCCGGAGGTTGGAGTAGAAGGCCCGGATCAGCGCCGGGTTGATCTCCTTGCGTGCCCGGGAGACGAACGGCCAAAGGCCTGCTTGATGAAGCTGCGCGTCGAGGTCGTCGTAGCCCTCCAACTCCGGGTAACGCTCCGGGATGATGCGTGGGGGAGCCACAACCCGTTTAGAGAAGAAGGTGAGGAAACGGGTGCGCTCCTCTTCGGAGTCAAACCAAAGGTATGACCCGTCGCCATAGTAGAGGCTCTCCTCGGAGGATGACGTAGGCGCCCGGGATTTGGACTTTGATTTCCCGGAGGTGGCGGCCCTGCTCTTGTCCTTGCCCATGATGAAGAAGGAAACAAAATTGTAAGTGGAGTGAGATATGCAAGAGTATGGAAAGAATTTGTGTTTGTGTGTATAAAAATGAGGAGTGGAGGCTCCAATTTATAGAAAAGGAGGCCTCCAACGTCCAAAATTTCAAAAAATATGACTGTTGGAGCAATAAATGAAGGTGCAACGGATATTTTTTTTGAAAATCTTGACCAGAACAGCGATGTTCCATAGGCGACATCGCTGTTGGAACAGCGCTGTTGTGCCTAGTACAGCGCTGTTCTGCGTCAAGTTTTAAAAAAAACAAGAGTCAAAAGGATAGCGACGTTGAGTACCCTACAGCGATGTTCCAAAAGTTTCTGGAATTGTGTAAGGGTTTGAACCCATTAGGACAGCGCTGTTGGGTTTCTCTACATCGCTGTTTTGCGATAGAGGAAAAAATTTGTAAAAGTGAACATCGATGTTGAGGGTAAGACATCGCTGTTTAAAAAGTTTCTGGTTTTGGTTGAAAACAAAAGGTTTTGGGAAGACAGCGATGTTGAAAAGGGAACATCGATGTTCAAAAGGTTTCTGGAAAGTGAAGATGTAAGGGACTCCCTGGGACAGCGCTGTTGGCTTGATGGACAGCGCTGTTGGAGAACTTTCTGGTTGACGATGTTTCTCTCAATAGTGCTGTTGTGTCTCCTGGACAGCGCTGTTTGTATGGTTCCCCCTGATTTCATGAACGAGGTACCTGCAAAAAAGAAAAAGTTCTCCGACGCTCAAGTTAGTAAATGTTTAAAAAATTTAGATGCACAACTTAGATCATCGTGGAGTCAAGGATTCCGAGTTCACTTCGAATGCGGAAGAACGACTCTTTCTCTAAAGGTTTTGTGAAAATGTCGGCTAATTGGTTGTGTGTTTCAACAAACTCAATTTCGACATCAC